ACAAGCATGCTTACTGCACATACAGACTGATTTTACTGTTGTAGGTTTAAAAGAACTTTAATGTCTTTTTTGAAATTTTGTGATTTGCTGATATTCATTACTTTGTCCTTTGTTACTTTTACATTCTACTCCTTCAGTACAACATAAATCAATCCTATTCACTAAATGGTGAACAAAAAGAGAACTTTTTCTTTTACTTTTGGACAAAATGGAGAAGGCCTAAGACTTCTGTTGGATTTATTTTGTTGTCCATGTCCTTGAAGTTTCCCTCAGAGCCTGTCTTCTTACCATAAAAAAAGTATCAGGACATCAATGTGGTAGGGACATAGGCATCAATGAAAGCTTGCCAGAGGTTCTAGTCCATCTCCACTTGATCAAAAACTTAAGAAATTGTAGACAGGAGTTACGTTTATATACAGTATATAAACTTGCTTGCTAAAGAAGCTGAGGGTAAAGGTGATGGACTGGCCAAGCATGTCTCCAGACCTAAACCCTATTGAGCATCTGTGGAACATCCTCAAATGGAAGGTGGAGGAGCGCAAGGTCTCTAACATCCACCAGCTCTGTGATGTCATCATGGAGGAGTGGAAGAGGACTCCAGTGGCAACCTGTGAAGCTCTGGTGAACTCCATGCCCAAGAGGGTTAAGGCAGTGCTGGAAAATAATGGTGGCCACACAAAATATTGACACTTTGGGCCCAATTTGGACATTGTCACTTAGGGGTGTACTCACTTTTGTTGCCAGCAGTTTAGACAGTAATGGATGTGTGTTGAGTTATTTTGAGGGGACAACAAATTTACACTGTTATACAAGCTGTACACTCACTACGTCACATTGTAGCAAAGTGTCATTTCTTCAGTGTTGTCACATGAAAAGATAGAATAAAATATTTACAAAAATGTGAGGGGTGTACTCACTTCTGTGAGATACTGTGTGAACAGTACTTGTAACATGAATGTGCAGCCATAGATAAAACTAAATTCAGCCAGTTCAGCAGGAATGGGCCGAATTTCGATCCATCTATTGGCAGGCTGATTGTACTGAAGTTGATCTATCAGTACAAACCAGTCTGTCAGGTTTTTTTTTTTTTCATTTGATCACTGCTGCCTGCTATAACCCGCCAGCAGTGATCGTTGTGTTTTGATGGCTGGGAAACCTCCTGCTGTCAAAATACAACAGCACAGCAGGAGGGATTCCCCCATCAACACTGAATGTATTGATGGGGGAATCAATCAATTTTCTTTCCTTCAACCCATGGTTGAAGGAAAGAAAACTGCATAATGTATGGCCTGCCAAAATGTGAAAAAGGGCACGGTAAGGCAGTAATGGGCAAGCCTACTAGAAATATTGGCAACTTGTCATTTGTCCTCTACTTGCTGTTTTTAGGCACAGCTTCCACACTTCAGGTCATCTTTAATTCCTCCAAGAATAAACTACAGTAATAATGCAGCAGAATGCATTAACCACATAAATAAACCAATTCCAGATAAATAAAAACACATTGCTCTACAAAAAAAACACATTATTAACTGCAATGAATACTTTGCTATAACACTTGCAATATATTGAAATAAAAAAAAACGCTATTCTTGCTTGCCTGTGACTCTGCAGGCTAAAAGCACCTTCCTTAACCACTAGTGTTGGCAATGTGTTGACAAAAATTGTCCCCATGTCTTTTTTTTTACTGTGATGGAAAATAGGATATTTGGCAAAAGTTTAGGAAGAAACATAAAGAGTTTTCAGATGCAAACCTATTAAATTTAAGACAGCATACGGTTACCTTGGAGGATATAAAGAAATAGCAGTCAGAAATTCAGAAGTAGATTGCAGGTGGGAGGTTAAGTTTGGAAAGATATAACTGTGTATTATTTGTTTGTAAGTGATACTTACAGTCAAAAAGAGTAGACAAGATCACTACCTGCAGGGAAAGGCATCAAAGGAATGTCAAGAGTGGAACACAAAATGCTGTTGCTACATTACTTGATGGAACAACGGGAAACCAGACTTAATAACAAAATAGTAAAGCAACGATTTTGGGGGGTGAGCTTGAATAGAATGATTATGTGCACTTTTAACCTTTTGTAAAAACCATTACAAAGGAACATCCCAAAATGTTGTTAAGATCTACAATGGCAGCCTAGCACAACAGTCCACTTCCCAGGCAAAGAAACAAAAATTTACATTTTGTGGGGTCCTCATGCCTCTAAAAGTCAAACAGATCTAGATCCAGAGGAAGGCAAAAACCCCTTCAAAGCATGGGCCAATTTGCTCCAACAGGGGCACTTAGAAGGCAATCAGATGTTCCCTGATCAACAATCCCTTGTATTATTATCTATATATATTAATATCCTGTCATATTTTGTGTATTTAGGAATGGATCCAGTTATTTTTTATAACAATCTACTAAGCTGGCCAGAACTAGAGTCTATTCCACATTTTAACCGCTCTTATTGTGAAGAACTCTCTATGTATGTGAAACTCAACACCAAGTTCACTATATAGACAACCTATGTATTTAAATATGGTTATCATATCCCCCTTAAATGCCTCTTCTCAAGAGAGAATACATTCAGTTCAGCTAATCTTTCCTCGTAGATGAGCTCCTCCATTCCTCTTATCAGTTTGGTTGCCCCCTCTCTGCACATTCTCTAGTTCTCTGATATCCTTTTTGAGTCGGTGCCCAAAACTGAACAGCATATTCCAAATGAGGTCTTACTACGGATTTGTACAGGGACAAAATAATGTCTCTCTCTGCAGTCTATACCTCCTTTATTACAAGAAAGTATTTTGTTAGCTTTACAAACTGCAGCTTGGCATTGCATGCTATTGTAAGTCGATGATGAACCAGAACACCCAGATCTTTGTCAACTATTGACTTCCCCAGTTGTACTCCACCTAGAATGTATGATGCATGTTTTGCCCCCACCCTCCACGTGCAAAGAAACAGTATTGTATTTTTAACCCCAAACTCTATCATTTATAAAAATGTACAAAAGGAAGGGTACCAACATTGAACCTGGGGTACACCACTTATTACCTTAGACCATTCAGAGTATGAATCATTAAAGAAGAATTCTAGGTATGGGAATTTTATATATATATATAGTCACATCGGCCACATCGCATAGACTATACTTGGCCAAGTTCCCTGCAAGCTAGAAATCACTGAAGTAGACACTCCAGTGATTTCCACTGGCTTACACTCCCCATACCAAGTGGCTGCCCTGCTGTATTCAGGAGGTCAGCTGCTCAGCACTAGTGCAATTCAGAAAAGTACTTTTCCACTACTCACCCTATACAGAAATGACTGATTCCTCAGCAACAATAGGCCTTCTCAGCAACAACAAACCCACCACACAAATCAATCCCCACATCAACAATGGATCCCCACAACAAAATACCCCCAGCAACAATAGATCCACCCCAGCAACAACACAGACCCATTCCCAAATAGATCTCCCAGCATTCAGTATCAATAGACCTACCAGAACCTAGAAAATATAGACCCTCCCTCAACAGCAACCCACAACCTCCCCAGCATTGACAGATCTCACAACGGTAACAATATACCTAGCCAGCCACAATGTACCCTCCAGAACAATAGCTGACCTTCAAGTACACCCCAGCACCCCTTGCCATTACATACATTCAGCACTGGAGGTGCTGTAACTGCATTCCCCCATCTTCTCCCATGAAAAAAAAGCCATATATATCCTGCATTTTGTAAGGTACTGGCTGGCATGATCATGGAATACTGTTGTGTATATATATGTCACCTACCCATGGTGAGGGGCTCCAGGGTTTTCTTTTTTTTCATAATACTGGGCCATGAAGTTCAGAGGGTTTGTAGAGCTTTGGCTAGGTAAAAACCTCCATTCCTAGGTCCACAACTTTCCTGGTAGCCAGACCTCATCATTACTTTCAGCTGTGCACATTCTTTTATATACTGTATGTGAACTGGTTGATGCTGAGGGCTCTCATTCCCACTCTCTCTATTGGGAAAGTCTGTTGCTGGATGAAAAGGCTATCAACTTACATTTACAAAGGTACAAGAGTTGCCTGATTATTTTGGAAAACCCATTAGGAGGCACCCTTTTAGTCAGAAACTGACATGAGTTCAGTTAGTGATTTGGATGAGCAGATGTTTTGTTTCTTTTATACTATGGGGAGTTGATTTGCTAAAACTGTAGAGTGCAAAATCTGGTGTAGCTGTGCATGGTAGCCAATCAGCTTCTAACTTCAGCTTCAGCTTGTTAAAATAAACTTTAGAAAACAAACTAGAAGCTGATTGGTTTCTATGCAGAGCTGCACCAGATTGTTCACAGTTTTAGTAAATCAACCCCTGGACTTGCTGTACAAAGCCCTCCTGCATTGCTACCTTTCTGAATGAAAGTGCAGGACAAACCTGCCTGGAATGATCCTGGATGTCCCTGTTTCTTGGTTTATAAATGTCACTAATAGTTGAATATGTCTCCCTTAAACATCTCTCTTCTGGGTTGGAGCTGAAATTGTGACTGAATTCCAATGGGCAACTTTATTTTTGTGTCCATATTGCACTGCATCACCTATGAACTGTGGCCAACAGGCATACCAGGGCCAAAAAGGGTATTTTGGATAAGCCAACCCCTCACTATAAAGGAAAGGGGGGTGGGGGGGTGGGGAGTTGGGATGGGAGAAAAACTATAAGGTTAGTACATGCTTGGCAAATTCTGTCATCCCTGATTATGAACAATGCATAGCTTAACACTGGAAGGTTTTTTTTTCTTCAGCATAATTGACAACACAAAAATAATCATTTCTCTCTATTAGGTCCAGCACAACAGAGCAATAAAATAAACCTCTCTACCCGCTTGCAATCCTCTCTACAATTTACACTGAGCTGCACATGTGAAGATCAATTTACATATCTGGCATAGCGCATGCGCATGTTATACATCATCCCACACTGGACAATCCAGACGACCAAAGACCAGCACCCAAAAGTAGGGAGAAGATGCCAGTGATATTAGACCAATAAAGAGTAGGTGAGTATCTAAAGGCTTTAGTTCCACCCAGGGGCGGACTGACAACTCATGGGGCCCCTGGGCAATAGGGGATCATGGGGCCCCTGTGTCCTTACCCAAACTCCAAAAAAAGCCTATGAAAAAAGTACCAGGGGCATCTCATGGGGCCTCCTAATGACCCGGGCCCTTGGGCAGTGCCTGAGTTTCCAAATGGTCAGTCCTCCCCTGGTTCCACCAGCCTAGACAATCCTTGTAAGCTGTCCACAGTTTGTCTCCCTGAAACACTGCTTTCACAGCAGTGGTTGACCTAGCAAACGTGGCCTGGACTGGTCCAAAAGCACTGGGTTCCCACAGGAGCCCTGCCTGACTCTAGCTTTTCTCCTTTGTGGAGCTATATATTGTTTATATATATATATATATATATATATATATATATATATATAGTACTCAACTATTCAGACATCATTCAGCTGTAATTGTACAGATGCCTGACAAAGATAGGTGAATACATGACAATTTTTCCATTAGCTATTAAAAGGTATCACTTTGACAATACTTTAGCATTTTTCACCACTTAAAAGTATTTATTCCTTTATTCACATATTTGTTCTTGGCTAATATAACACAACATTATTTTCCTAAAGGAAATGCAGATCTTTAATAGTTCTACAATATAACAAATAATAGAGCAGGCACATCAAACTGAAATGATACAAAGGGGAATATCTGTAAATCATGCAAGGAGCAAAGCATTAGACAGATTTTTTTAAGATAAACATTATAAAAGAGATCAGCTTGATGTAAATAATGTCATTGATTTTAATGTTTAAAAAAAACGTGTTGTATAATTTGTAATTTTATATGACAAAGGGGGCAGCCAAATTTGCTCTTTAGATATTGAGACTCTTTTTCAGCTTTGCAGTGCTACACAGTGGTTGAGCTTTATTGCTCTATCTCACAATTAAAAATATGTATTTTTTGTAATAACCTGATATATGAGGTTAGAAAAATTAGGCTTGCATTCTCAAAGAATGGAGAAATGCATATTTGAAGTGAACTAAAGACTATAGACACAAGCACGTAGACAAAGCTTGTAGCAATATAAAGCGTTGGGAAGAAAAAAAAGGGGAAAAAAAATTGAAAGTTAGCACACAGTACATTTATCAAGGCCATCCCATTTATAGGGTGGGATGTGTGATACTTTTTTCAGATACTATGTCTATTCATTTTGAAGCTAAATAATAAAATGGACATAAGAATTTATATAATGAGTACACCAAGTGTCAGGAATGCAGTGTTTGATTAATTTGATGAATTTGTATATAGTGTAAATCTTCTTAGCAAGCTCATAATAAAAAGAAAACATGTTAATTCTTTATTATATTAGAATAGGGTATATCTGATTTCTAGATTTAAAGAGACATGATTTAATCTGGCATGTGATTGGATGATTAAACTTAATAATGTACCACCCAATTCACTTTTTAACTGAATATTTATATACAATTGGCATATTACCACTGTACGTTGGCTGGCTAAGTGAAAACCATGCAATCCCTGTGTGTTAGGAAGAACAGAGGTCAAAACAATGCAATGATACAAACAAACCGGTATTTCGTGTATATCCACAGAGAAAGATAACAGATCATCCAGAGTACAATAGCACATTGAAATCAAATTGTAACGTTTTATCAGAAAAAATAAAATAAAATTAAAATAAAATGAGTGGGGAGTGTAGGCTCCCCATACTGTATGAATGATTTAAGTACTCATTACATATCAATTGCTAGGGTGTGCAGACAGTAGATAATAGCTTATGAGGTGGAAACATAATGTTATAACCACATGTCCAATACTGAGCAGGAGAAAGATGGATGGAGAGAAAGTGAGGAACTTAGGAGAAAAGAAAGGCCAGTTGGCCAGGAAAAGAAGAAGGAGAGGAGAAAGGAAAGAAAAAGAAGAAAAGGAAGAGGCCGTCAACTGCGCGTCAGGGTAGGAGATTATCCACCCATGGTTGCCAGATTTTCTGATGTTATGGGATTTTATCTAATATAGTCGCCTCCATTTTGCTATGGATCATTGCCTGGATGATCCTATTTTTGGTTTCTATGGAGCAGAGTGATGGGGATTTTCAGGCCTTTGCTAAAGTCTGCTTCGAGGAAATCATGATTTGAATGGCAAGTTTTGATTGTGCTTTTGTAAGATTAGGGGGGCAATGATTCAGCAGTACAAAAGCAGGGTCATGTGTGATTGATTTATCAAGCAAGGTGGAGAGAATTCTAAATATATCAACCCAGAATTGCTGCATGATTGGACACATCCACAAAACCACTAAACAGCTCATCCACTCCCTCATCATATCACGACTCGACTACTGCAACTCCCTCCTCACTGGCCTGCTTCGCCGCTGGCTATCCCCGCTTCAGTCGATCCTGAATACGACTGCCAGACTCATTCACCTTACCAACCGCTCCGTTTCCGCCACCCCCCCTCTGCCAATCCCTCCACTGGCTTCCGATTGCGCAACGGATCAAATTCAAAATCCTAACACTGACGTACAAAGCTGTCCACCATACTGCCCCGAACTACATCTCTGAGCTAATATCAAAGTACCGCCCAGCACGCACACTCCGCTCCTCACAAGACCTCCTTCTCTCTAGTTCCCTGGTCTCCTCCTCCCATGCCCGCCTCCAGGACTTCTCCAGGGTGTCACCCATCCTCTGGAACTCCCTGCCCCAACCCATCAGATTATCACCTACTCTCCTCTCCTTTAGGCGCACCCTGAAAACCCATCTCTTCAGGGAAGCTTACCCCACCCCCTGCTAACTTGCCGACAACCTCCACTCTTCCTACCACTCCATCCCCCACAGCTATCTCCTCCTGTGCCACCATCCCCTCCCTCCTAGATTGTAAGCTCGAAAGAGCAGGGCCCTCAATCCCCTCATGTTTTGCATTGTATTGTATTGTTATTGTTCTGTCCCCCATTGTAATGTACAGCGCTGAGCGAACTATTGGCGCTTTATAAATACTGTATAATAATAATAATAATAATATATGAGTTCCCTGTTCACTACAGCCATGAAAGCAGGTGGAGTGGTGTGTAGGAAGAAATTTAGCAATTCTTTCTGGACCAGATACCAATGCAGCAGGACCTTATAGCTAGTTTCAACAGCAAGCATGTTTTGTAAAGAGGAATTGATTGTAGCCAAAACATCACCTCAATCTTCCAATTCCAAGGTATTATTCAGGTAATCAGTAGTATAAGAGGGCAGATGGGAAGATGCAGTCATAAGGTGTGAGTATAATTTTGACATAATATCAGTGACATGTGGATCAGTGTTACAAATGTCTTCGAAAAGAGTCAGACTTATTAGTGAGGTGGAGGCTCGTGTGTATGGGGCAAAAAAGTGGGAGATCTGTAAGTAGCGAAAAAGTTCTCTACTTTGGATCTGGAATTGCTCCCGTAGAGTAGGAAAAGGCTTCATGGTAGAGGAGGGGACCAAAGCAGATAATTTGGTTAATCCTGCTTCCAAATAACAAAGGTGTCTAACTCTGTGTAAGCAGGGGGAAATGATGGGTGGCCTAGAAAAGATAATAGGAGACAATGTGTGGAGAGTAATTTGAAGGGGCCTTTTAGTCTGTCCCACAATTGTAGGGAGTGAGTTTTGATCAGATTAGTTAATATGCCTCATTCCAAACATCACACCCAGAACAGGTTATCTACCGTGAGGGGGTGGAGGTCTTTTTCTTTGATTCCTACCCACAGCAGAACCTCTGTTGTAGCATGGTAGAAAGTAAGTTGGGCTAGCTGAGCTGCCTTATTGTAAGAGATAGCACATCAGTACCTACTTGCTTTGAGGCTCTCTATATTTACTTGAGTCATCTAATGAAGTATGAATCACTGCTGTGATTGACATAATGTGAATACCAGAAGTGAGCTGGAATTACGATGTTTGTGGGAGTTTGATGTTTTTTTGCAGCGCTGAATATATTTTTCTTCTTTGTGAGTGTAATTTTAGACTTTTTAATAAATATATATGCAGTGTTCACACTATGTGGAGCATGAAATCTTCTTTTTTTGGGTACTTACCTGCATGTGCAGATCCTCTATTTGACTGGTGCTGTGGAGGTAGTTCCTAGTGGATACAGGTCTTGTTCCAGGAAGAGATATGTGAAGACCAATGATGATTACCTATAAGTTTATCCAGAAATGCAAATTGGACTCTTGTTGATTTAAGAGTTGTTTCCATTTGGTAAGCAGATTTAAGTCTCCATTTGGTGTTGGAGCACTGTGGATAAGGTATCTTTGAAGATTTTTCTTCTATATCATGCGAGAATTTATTTTCATCACAAGAGACATTATTTGGTACTTTTGAATTATTACAGATTTAAATTCTTTAACTGGCCAAGAGCTACATGAAGGAAGGAAGAGGGCTGGAATATAGTCCTTTAAAAATTCTGTGTTAAAATTCTTGTTTTAGATTGAAGCTGAATATAAAACATATAAAACGTTTATAACATTTTATTATTGAAAAACACATTAATATTATTGGTAAGATAATTTTTCAATACTCAATTTAGCGTAAATAAAAAAAACTGTCTTGAAAGCATGATCTTGACCTTGATGGCAAGAAATGCTAATGCAAAATGTAAATAAGTAATAAAAAGATTCTATACAGAATGTACAGTACCATATTTCATAAAGTAAAAGCAATAACTTACTTGTAAAATATTAGTATTTACAAAACATAGTATATGATACAATATAAAACACTGAAGGTTATGTAGAGCAAGTCATAACTTCTCTTAAAATAAAGTAGTAAGATTCATCCTTGAGTTAAGGAGACATCAATGATTTCATTTTATTTTTTTATTTTATTTTTATTTACTTTATGTTTTGACCTTGATGGCAAGAAATGCTAATGCAAAGTTTAAATAAGTAATAAAAAACTATATGCAGAATGTACAGTACCATATTTTATAAAATATAAAAGTAATAACTTATTTGCAAAATATTAGACTACAAAGTAATAACTTATTTGCAAAATATTAGACAATAATACAATATAAAACAATGAAAGTTAAGTAGAGCAAATAATAACATTACATAACATTTCCTTTAAATAAAGTCATACCTTCTTACTTGAGTTAAAATGAGAAATGATTTTTTTTTTGAATTTTAATTTTATTTCTTTATGTTTTTTATGTGGAGATCATAAAATCAGGGCAATGTAATATAAAGTGG